TCAAATCTGACAATATTCAATAGCCCTCCTTATTTTGTTTTTGTTTTGTCTTGTCACAAGCTACAAGTAACCCAACCATAAAATCATTGAGCTCTTCACTAAAAATATATTCCAACATCCAACCACTTCTAGGCTCTTCCACACTACATTCCTGATCCAACACCATCTTTCACTGAGTTTTGCAAGTGGCTGCTAACTATTCACCATCTTTTCATTCTTTATCCCCTTTTTATTCCTACAGCACCCAGGGTGGAATTTTACTTTTATACATCAGATCACGTCACTAAAAGAAAGAGCAAAGCCCTTTGCACGGTAACATGAGTAACATTTACTCATTCTTTCATGAACTTGTGTACTTGTATGTGTTCAATCATCTCCTAGTCTTCCACATCGGAGCATCAGCCCCATGAGGGCAGAGATTCTTCTTTTGGGTTTGTATACTTCCACAACTCAGGCTCTGAAATATTGGCTGGCAGTCAGTTGGAACTCAAAGATATGTGTTGAACTAATGAGTTAATGAATAGTGGAAGAGAATTTGAGCTGAGAAAAGAGGAATGATGATTTGGTCTAGAGACATCAGCTGAATCTAAGTCAGAAATAAATGCAACCAGCAGATTTGGCAATCCGGAGCTCACTGTTAATTTAGGGAGGAGAGATTGGTTGGAGATGTGGTCCGCTGCGATTTCCTCTTAATCCCATCTTCACCCATGGTGTGTGCATTTGAGAAGAGGGGTTCAGATCCAAGGTCTTCTGTACATGTGAGGCTGATACTTGAAAGTCTTTCCTCATGTCAGACCAGAGCAGATGAGGGACACATTTGGAAATCTTTCGGCTAACCTGGTTGATGGTCCTGAACCCTGCTGCCAGAATACAATCAGGCAGAGGGAAACCATGAGAAGAGGGACAGTTAGGGCAAAAACAAATCCAGCAGCTGAATGACAGACTGTATTTATGAGTTGTGGGCAGGGAATATCACAGTTAAATTCATCATTTTCTAAAGTACAGGTAGCACTAGACCCTACTGTTAGTTACGGGCTATGGGCCATCGCTTGACCATTCAAGCTGCTCATATACTGATGCTCTGAAGACTTCACTATTCCTTTATTCGTTTGTTCATTTAATGAAAGCACCAGTCCTCTCTTAAGGCCGGATGCCATTCTGAAGTCTGGGTTGAAAACAAACGGAGCGTGGTTTCTGTTCTCGGAATATACACAATTAAAGTTCAAGGAAAATGTCTCCCAGTGTAGGCAGCACTAACAGTTAGTGAGCATTCTTCCGAGACTATACAATAGGAAGGGCTGTGCTACAGTTTTAGTTAAAGAAGAAAAGCTGTTGTTGGTGCGTAAAGCAAAGTTTCAGTGTATTTATGTGTGTTGTTCATGAAGAAAAGTAAGACTGCAGACATCTGCCATTGGATTCGTCCTCTATGTACTCTAATGCCGAAATAGAAAATATGCGTGGTAGGTGCTTACTTTGACTATTTTGCAATCATCTTGCATGGTATCTATATATGGAACTATTAGCAAATTTGAACAATACTGTTTGGCTTGTACAAATGTATAAATGGGGCTCCATCACTGTAGCACACAGTTGACTGTAGTGCTGGTTGGTCATTATACTGTTATTTTCTTTTTGAATGGATATTATACAATATTTATTAGAGTTATTCTTATACACTGACTATGTTGGAATATTATACAGGCTCAGAGAAATGTTACCTTTTGAATTAAAAAAGACATTTAAAACATGTGAAGTATTTCTTTATAGTGTTTTAAATATTCATATAAACCCAAGACAGATTGTTTTGTAAAAGGGCTTAATTTATTGATAAGTAAATATACGTCAAAACATTCTAATTACATTAATAGCAATAATAGTGATATTCAGGTAAGTTTTACAAAGGTTCTCCAGGAAGACAATTATAATGATTCACAACTCTGATTACTTCTATTAGGCTTCATTCACTTACTATCTCTTTGTTTAACGAACCCTCTTGTAGCCTTTTAATGAGGGGTAGGCATTACAAAGTGCCCTAGAACTAATGATATACTTGATAACTATCTATTGCATCAGTGTTGGTTCTTCCAGGACTTCATCTCCAGGCTCTTCTGGGTCAGAGACAGTTGCCAGAATACACTGTGTCTCACTCAAGACAGGAAAGATGGGCACTGGAACGAAACTCACCACTGCTCTGCCTTCTGCTGGATGAGTGGACTCTTACCCGAGGAGCAAGAATGGTGAAGCCCAGCAGACAGGAGTTCATTAAGAGCCTGCCTGGTGCTGATGTAGCAAAGGCTTTGCTTGTTGGTTGAGTGCTCTCTGGATCATTTTCCATCTTAGGTGACATCAGGGCACAGGAGCCATCAAAGTTCACACAAGGAACCTTTTAGCTACCTGGGGAAGATCAACCCCTTAGCTGCTTTCAACGACCTGGAAGGTGGTTCTGGACCCTCCAGTGATGGTGGCAAGCCAGGCGCTCTCTCAGACTTTATCATGTATCTGTCTGTTTTGTATCTTGTACATCTTTCAGCTATGTCATTCGCAGCCTGCCAACACACTTGAAAATTCCTAATTTAAAAGCAACCCCATAACCCTGAACCTTCCCTCATCCCTCTTTATTGGTGATTGAACAGAGCAGCAGCTCACGGGTCTCCACTCCTCCCGCTCATGTCCACTGTGGTCCGGCTGTCAGACTCAGGCGTCTGCACTGTGAAGGCTTCTAAGAAGCATTTTCCAGTCCGTATCACACCAGCCACCTCACTGCATGTGACCTCTGCCTTCCGTTTCCTGCTTTAGTTTCCTCCTGTTGGTTTTTGTCACCCTCCTCACTGATGTTTCTCTAAATTACCTCTCAGTCTGTTCTCATTTCTCCTCTTGTCTGTTCCCTTTGCACAATGGAGTGTTAGTCATAGACTAGAATGAAATCACATCATTTGTACAGAAATGAGTGGAATAAAAACCATTATGTTACATGGAATCAGACAAACTCCAAATTTAAAAATTGAATGTTTTCCTCATACAGGAAACCTAAAAATGCCTACATGTGTTTAGGGCCTGTGTCTGGATGTCCTCCCAAAGACTCCAGGAGTCACAGGTGGAGCTTTTTGGAAGTTCCTGGCTGTGGGATCTAGGCTGAGATGCCAGGTTTAAGGGTGTGATGCTGGGATTCAGGGTGCATGATTACTAAATTAGTTGAATAATCCGTTTAGCAGAGTCCTGGCAAGGGAAGGCCCACCCTGAGTGCTCATGGTGGGTGGTTTAGAAGGGATAAAAGGAAGGGGCAGACGGTGCTTGCTGCTCACAGCAGCCTTCTGCTGGCCACACTGTGAGCTGTTTGTCTCCTGTGGTTCTTTTTGCCATACTGCTGTACCTTGGAGCTAGCTGACTGTAGGCTGAAACCTTTACAAACTGTGGGCTGAATAAACCTTTCCTCCTCTAACTTGGGAGGTGGGGTATTGGCCTGAGCAAGAAGAAAAACTAAGGCACTAACATATTTAGATACATAAGATAAAGACAAGCTGATAAGAAACCAGGAGTTAGACTTCTGGAGATGGGGTAGGGATCAACAGGAGGGGGAAGAAAGCACGAAGAAATAATGGGGTTGAAACTGATTAGAATATGTTAAACCCAGGTATCAGCTTCCAAAAATAAACTCCACCACCATTTTATTACCATGCATTAGCAAAGTATCCAAAAGCATCAAAAATATACTGGATTTCTTTTATGACTTTGTCTTCTCTTTCTCTATTTCCTTCCCAATGGTAGTAACTGTTCTCACAGTTTTAAATACGGCTCACATAGCCACAGCTGCCAGTTTCATGTTTCTAACCTGATAAGTTCCAAGTCCATTTAGTCAGGTGCCTACTCAGCAATGAGATGTAAGTATCTCATCAATATCTCAGACTTCGCGTGCCAGGTACCGACACTGTGATAATCTTGACACTCTGATACTATTCTTAGTAAAAGGGAACTCCATCCCCAAGTTGGTCAGGGAGAAAATGAGTCCTTCACAGCACCCATGCTCTAATTCCCATTGCCAGGTAATCAGAAAAGCCTTGGAGTTGATACCAAAAGTATTTTAATCCCTCAGCTCACCCCTCCCTGAAGCCTCATTCCAGGTTTTCTCCAGCTGTTAACACCACTCCTGCCAGCCAAGCTGTTCTTCACTCAGTCTGTCCCTCAGATATCAGACAGCTCCAGATTTCGTAGTTGAATGAGGCTTATCACTTAGTTGCTTTAACTCCATTATACACGTTCTACTTCATCACTGGCACAATGGATTTATCTTCCATAGATAATCGTACATTGCATTACTACAGGACAATGAAGGTAAATCAGTAATGTGATCGGTATCTACGTAGATCTAAGAAATATCCTGCTTCTTTTGCTGAGTAAGATAAGCTAAAGGAAAAGCAGCCCTTAGTTTATAATTTCATTCAAATAATACTAAGCCAGAAGCAAACAGATGGTGGTGAGGATAAGCAGTGAGGTCACAGGTGGGTGAGTAATCACTGGGGAGGATTAGACTCCCAGTGCACTGGGCAGCTCCCTGCAGGTTTTGACATGGTGAAAATTCCCTGAACTGTACAGTTAGAATTTTCTCACTTTTCCTTATGTAGATTATATCTCAATATAAATATTACTTTGAAAACCAAATACTGTTTGGGTCTTCCATTTTTTTTTTTTTTGTCGTTGTTACTACTAGGATGTTAAATCTAAGACATGAAATGGCAACATTTCCTGCTGGGTAATTGTTTATTTAGAAAAATACCTAATTATGCATTCATCTGATATACTGCTATGATTTCAGAAAGCCTTGACTGATACAAAAACTATGTGTTCTGAATATATAATACCCTGTTGTCAGAAAAGCAAACATCCAGAGCTATGATTAAATAATGTTAATACAACTATGGTAAAGAAAAATTTAAAACGTAAACAAGTCTACAAATACAGTAGTACAAGTACTGTTCTGTTATTACATTGGCAGGAAGACAAACATTCCTCTGGGTGGAAAAGGAGCAGAGCGGAGCCATGAGAATCCATGTTTCACCAAACCAGAATTGGAAAAGTGACCTTGTAACTGTGAGATTACTCGGGGAGTACTCAGGGTTGGATTTTGATCTCAGGTGTCTATAAAAGAGCTGTGACACTGATTTCAGTTTTAGAACCTGGGTGTTGCTAGTATACACATTTCATATTTCTCATTTCATGATCTATTTTTTGAGAAATACAATAACATACATTTATGGATGAAAACTATCAAAACCAGGAAATAGGCCATATTGTGTTTGTAATAACACACAATAGGTTGGTTTTGAATTTGCAACACAAAATACTATTTTTTGAAACTTCTTAATCAGACATAACCAAGATGAAATAGAAAGCTGAAACAACTTAAGAGGTATTATGTTATAGGATTATCTTCTTTCAGTTTGAAAGTCATGTTAACTTTAGCTGAAAACTAGACTGAACTTAAACACTAAAGTCTATCCTTTGAGTATATAATATGAAAATTACTAATCCAATCCATCAGTTCATTAAATTCATAAATCATTAGCTACTATCAAAACTTGGTTTTACTAAATCCTTAGGAATTCTATACATTAATATTAGCACCCATGCTCATATTCATTAGCACCCAGGCTACATATTCATAGACTGTACTTATTTATATTCATACCAATAAAATTACAATTTCATACATTGTAGATTTTTTGTTTTGTCATCTTTATTACTGGAATAAAAGATGCTAAATTTCTCCAGTAATATCGCTTCTCTTTTGTTCCTTCTTTATTATTTTTCATAAAATTTTATGATAACTTTAGCAGAAAACCTTGATTTTTCTCTACAGACTTAGACAAGCAAGCATCTTCCTGAGATATATTTGCATACAGCTGTTAGTAAGTAACATTTTGTAATATTTTAATGTTCCCAATGAGGGAAACATATCTAAAACAAATAGTTTCATTACCAGGCTAGAAACAACATCATTTTTCTATTCTCAAATGATTACCTCTGCTTTACAGCCAGTGATAAACACCAGCCCAGGATGGGTCTTGGATGGAGTTGGGCAGATGGATGTGTCAGGAAGACGTGAGCACCGAGCACGACCCCTTCAAATTCCATTTCATGACTCACTTCATGTTTGAAGCTGAATTTGCATGAAAATTAAATTCATAAATTCAGCCACAGCTTTGATCAGGAATTTTGTGGTTGTTATTGTTCTTTTTGAATTGTCATAAAAGTCATGGCAGATGGTGATGTTTCTTGAAGTGTCTGTCGATACTCATCTTTCTTCTCTCACCACTGCACAATAGTAGAAAAGCTTTAGTACCTTCATAGAAGCAGGCCATCTTCCCACTGGAATTATCCTCTTTCATTGCTTACATGAAAATAGAAAAGCTATAAACTCTGCCCCTTTGATTCCTAGTCCACAGACCAATGATTTTTCCATATACCAGTTTGGTCATCAAGAAATTAGCACTAAAATCTTGGAAACCCTGAAATTAATTGCAAAATCTGCTATAGAAACTATTGAGAAAAAATAAGGTAATTTATATGCACACACATACATACTCGAGCATATATGTAATTAGGCTACATATTCATAGACTGTACTTAGTTATATTCATACCTATATATGCTTTAAGAAAATTATATCTATATATGCCTTAAGAACATTAATATCTATTGCTATATATTACCTTTACATATGATATATTTTCTTTACAAGTGTCTCTCTAGATAACTTTATGATTAACTCTAAAATAAGTATATTGACTATGACCATAGTAGAATTTGAAAATCAATAGACATTTGAATCCTAGAGCTTCCACCTCACAGTAACGTAGCTGTTTGAAGATAGATAGATAGACAGACTGACACACATATCCTCTTAAAAATATATACAAAAAATATACATATTCTCATATATATGTATGTTCTCTCTCATATATATGTACATATACATATTCTCATTCACATATATACATGCATATAGGTATGTATGTATGTGTATATATGGAGGGGAGAGACAGGGTTGAAAAGAAAGAGTTACAAATGCTTCCCATTGGCCACGCCTGATGCATGGCAGTTCAGATGATTTCTTCTAGTTTTCAAAATTTCCCATGCATCCCTGTACACACAACAGTCTATACCAGTGGTGGGGAACATACGCCATACCAGGCGTGCTACTGTGAACTATTTTTATGATTGAAAGCTGGAAGAAGTTCGCTATCACTGGCCTATACCATGGATGAGGCACTGGCTGACTGCCTCATACTCTTAAGAATCTGATTCTACAAAAGCTACTCACAGAAATAATCCAGGAGAATTTTCCTAATTTAGCAAAAGGTAAAGATACTCAGTTGTATGAAGCATACAGGACCCCAGCCACCTACAACCCAAACAGAGCTACACCCAGGCATATAATAATCAAAATTGCAGAAATCCAATACAAGAACAGAATATTAAAAGCTGTCAGAGACAAGAAACAGATCACTTACAAGGGAACACCAATCAGAATTACAACAGACTTCTCGGCACAAACCATCAAATCACAAAGAGCATGGGGGGAAATAATTCAAGCTTTGGAAGATACTAACCTCCAGCCAAGATTGATATATATCCTGCACAACTATCCCTGGAAATTGATGGAAAAACAAGGTGCTTCCAGGATAAAGAGGAACTAGGGGAATATGTAACCACCAATTCAACTCTACAGAGAATACTGCAGGATATTCTAAAAAAGAAAAATATGAAGAATCCAGAAATAGTGGCAGAGAGGCCACAATGAATGCAGAAAGCAAAATGAAGAAGATAAACTGACAGCTAATGACAAAAAAAAGAGCTCAACAGAAATGAGGCAAAGAAGATTGGATGATAGGAACAGCTGTTTTGGAGAAAATGACATCATAACAGGTAATACTGATTTAGTACCATATTGTTTTGAAGTCTCATCAAGCTTTTGTTCTTCTGTCTCCATTGGTCTAAACAGGTTGTGTCTTATTGGATTTTATTATATGTGATAGTATAAACAAAAACTTTTATAGACAAGGAGATTATACAGAAACCATTGTTCATTTTCTGTTAGATTCTAAATACCCTGTAATAATGTCATTCTTTTAAATGGTTTTACATTGTTTTGATATATTTGATTCTACAGTATATGAAGTTATACTCAAAGATTTCAAGGAAAGAGACAATATGGTAACTACTTTTATGTCGGGATAATCTTGTGGTGAAACACTATTTTGCTTAAATGGTTATGTTTTGATCTGCGCTGTTTTGCTGTTATGCCCTTTTTTATCTCAATCTCCATTTTATTATATTCTTTTTAATTTTTATCCTTTTAATTAAGGGAAAAATAAATTAAAAAATAGCAGGATATATTATAGTAACCCACTTTGACTTTCCATTATCTTGATTTGAAGCCCTGTATTGCTCTCACCATCTTGTTTTGACTGATTTTCCTCTATTTTGTTTTGCTTGATAGTACCAGGTTCGAAAGTTTAGGCAACAGCTGTGAAGATAGTGGGATTCATTATGATGCCCATTCTGGTTGACTAATATCTACTTTTGAAGACCTGTAATGTCTCCAGTGTTTTGGTTTTGTTGGTATCATTCTTTATTGTTTTGTTCAATTTTATTATAACTGATGATATAGGCAATTCTATTAGAGATAATGGGAGGCATTATGGTAACAATTGTTGATCACCTTGTATTATGCTTTTACATTATCTATTATGTCCACCCTTTTGATTAGACTGACTCTGTTCTGCTATGTCACATTTGGTTTTACTCTCTTCCAAAAAACTAATAAGAATGGTGGGAGCAACAAAACTCAAAATGTGTAATTGTCATTGTACAAAAGAGAGGAAAAGAAAGTGCTCTAATCGATATAACTGCATGTATATTTAAGTGTATAAGATAGATAATGACATTACTGAGTTTTGTTGGATCACTGAACAGAACTGTATGCAGTCTTACTATTGGAATGTCCATTGTATAAGCTTTAATTTTGTAACTTGAACAACTATTTCTAAGATGACAATATGTAATCCATTGACTAGTGATTTCCTACTGTTTATTTTTTTTTTGTAAATCTGTATAACTTGTACCCTTTTTCTGCTTTTTTTTTCTTTTTCTCCTTAAATAAAAAAAAAAAAAAGAATCTAATTCATACACAGCTTTTGTGTCTGATAGGCCAGTTACAGATCAAAGCACAAGCACTTAGCAGAGCAGAACGGGCTGCCCAGCATCTGCTGACAGTGCTGACAGTGGTCTGACCCACAGCGTCATCAGGCAGAGGGGAAGTAATTTCAATTTAAGCCATGTGAAGGTTTCTAACTTAAGGAACTCTACTGTGCTTGTCTCCTTGTCCCCGTCTCTAAAATTAGCTTCATTCTTACAGCATCCATTTCTCGCAGTGTTAAGACATAATTTTGAAGTGGCATAAACATTTCTAATCTGATATTTTTATCCAAAACTATATAATAAAGCATGAAGTTATACAAAGATTCTTTAGTTCTGCTTTTGCCTGATCTAACATACAAACTATAGACAGATTTATAAACTATGGACAGATCTATAAACTACAGACATATTTTTAAATGGTGACTGGCATGAGCAAGAGATATTAGACGTCTGTCCTTGGAACTTTAACTGCATATTTGGTTTTGATCTGATATCTCAATAACCATTAATAAATCCCTAGCCTACAGCACAAAATTCTATTTTGTCCTATAACTTTAAAAGCATCTCTTGCATTCAACATATAGGCAAAATGCCAAGGAAAAAACCCAAAGTGCTCTTGATTTGTTTGACAGCTGGCGCTTTGGACTCAGTGGCCAGTTCCCAAAAAGCTGTCATTCAGTCACACGGGAAATAAAATGAATTTGTTGCTTACTACACATATTTCTTACTATTGAAAATTACCCTAAGAATACACTAATTGCTCCTCTAAAACATAATTTCATTGCACCCAGCATCCATCTGGAAGCTCTGAGAAAGACAAATATAAAACTGCTGGAAGAGGGATTTTGGATTTAATATGCCCATTGATATATGGCTGTTAACCTTCTCTTAGTGAGATTGTTTCAGTATTGAATCCATTTTTAGTGAAAATAATTTGCTTTTATTTATGAGCACTGTACATTAAGTGGATAACTCTTTACACAATAATGTGATGTGCATGAGCTACTGTACATACGTAAAATATCCAGACATCCAAAAATTACCTTGAAACCCACAATAAATCATTTATTTTATGCAACTATAATGAAAATTTTCTGGTTATTTTCATTAAGGTATTAGTGTTGGTATTATTTACAAACACTTGATGCTGGCTTTTAAAAATAGTTGAGATGGAAGTGATGTAAGTGAAATACAAATTTTAGTCACACTTACCTGTAAAAAAGTGGAAACTATAGTGCAATCTTTTTCTGACTTTCAGTGCTTAAACAACAGTCACTTTAAGTATGCATAACAGGCTTTCCTAGAGAAAGTAACTGCACTGGCCAGGGATTTAGCTCAGTGGCATAAGCACCTGCCTGGCAAGTGCAAGGTTGTGAGTTCAATACCTAGTACAAAAAAAAAAAAAAAAAAAAGAAGAAGAAGAAGAAGAAGAAGCCGCCATCTGGAGCTTCGTATCCCTGTGTACTTTCTTTACATTCAACCTGAAACTTAGTTTACAGTGTGTAAAATCTTGAGGGTATCTCTAATAATTATCACATGCACTAGAAACTACACTAGAATATAGCACCATAACACCCTCCTAGGGACACCCCACCCCTTTATGTGCTCAGCTGACTTGGTAGAAGATTCACCTAACTCCGTGAGCTCTAAAGAAATCCAGTTTAGGTTAGGATTATCTGGTGGTGAAACACTATTCTGCTTAAATGGTTATGTTTTGATCTGCGCTGTTTCGTTGTTATGCCCTCTTTTATCTCAATCTCCACTCCATTATTTACTTTTTTATCTTTATCCTTTTAATTAAAGGAAAAAAAATAGCAGGATATATTATAGTAACCCACTTTGACTTTTCATTACCTTGATTTAAAGCCCTGTATTACTCTCACCATCTGGTTTTTAACTGATGTTCCCCTATTCTGTTTTGCTGGATAGTATCAGGTTCGAAAGTTTAGGCATCAGCTGTGAAGATAATGAGATTCATTATGACGCCCATTCTTGTTGACTT